GCCCTCTGCGCATGAAGACGAGAGCGGGGAAACACCTCCCTCTGACACGTTGGAGGCTAAACGCTCTCTGTGCTCGGAGCTGGAGGAATTATTTCATCATTAAAATCAATCAAATGTCGTCGTTGTGTAACAAGTCCAGCTGCATCCGATTTACACAAACAGGAGTTTTAATGAAGAACACTTGTCTCAGTCGTCTTTACTGTAAATGCACGGATGAAGGTCGGCGTTCTCCCACGTCTGGGTCGCGTTGTCCTTGTTAAGCCAGTCAGTTCGGTTTTTCTCCATAATCTGTGATGTACCACCCAGGAGCAGACAGATAACATCCTCCGGAGCAGGAAGTTACGACCGAAGCCCGCAGCGCGCAGCTACACGTGCGCTTACTCAGGACTCGCAGCAGAGAGAAGCTCTCCCTGCTGACTCAGCGCTGCCTCTGATAACAGCGATTCATCGTGAGACACACGATTTATCTGCTAAAAAAATACGTTTGGGAGCAGAGGAGGAGGACGGGCGAGCGTCTTCCAAACCACCTAAAAGCCCCTGAGAGGACACACGAAGCTGTGCTGACGTCACCGAGCTACAGGAGCATCACGTCTGTTTACCGAGCTGAAGCAAACCATCTGGTATTCACATCGAAATGAGTCAAATCTCCAAACTCAGGCTGATGTTAAACTCAAAAACAAAACACGGAGGAAAGTTACAGGAAGGGAAATAACGTGTACATGAGTCTGACAGCGTGCAGAGAGTAACTCACACCCAGCTCAGCTCCAGGCTGAAGGCAGGCGGACCTCAGCTGTTAATCTAGGATCAGTTTCCACAAAGCAACATTAGCTCCACTTCAGAAGCTGAGAGTTTAAACTCGGTGTTTAGTAGGAAATAACACACGACTGTGAGACAAGAGGAGTGTAAAACACAGGGCTTCATGTCATCTCAGCCTCACAGGTCACACAGGCCTATGGACCAGCTGGTCACTGACCAGTTAGAGTGGAAATACCATCATCCTCAGTCTGAGGACAGCTGATCATGTGATCATCAACCAGAGACCTGCGGAGCTCCAACATCATCATCAGAAGCACACAGATCGGCTCGTGAGCCGAGCGCGTGGCCACACGTGTGGGCGTTGGGTTCCTCTCACACTGAGCAGCAGGACTGCTGCAACAGCTCCTCAGCAGCAGGGTCAAACTGACCTGCAATCAGCAGGTGAACCACAAAGATACAAAGAGCCGACGTCGCTGTGAACGCCTGGACGCCACAGGTCAGTGAAGCCCGGGGTCACTGACCCGACACCTCAGACGTAAAAAAGTCACAATCATGAGGATCACGAGCCTCTGCAAGCTCATCGCTTTCTGCTTCCTGACAGGTTTCTGTCTACTCGAGCTCACCTGAGGACAGCTGCACCACAGTCTGACAGGTGTACCATCCAGTCATGCTCCCCACCTGCCGCTGTCCTCGGAGCGGGCCACGCCCTGAGCGGGCCACGCCCTGAGCGGGCCACGCCCTGAGCGGGCCACGCCCTGAGCGGGCGCTTCACACCAACAGCAGGAGCGCGCTCAGAGCTCGTCTCATCAGGTAAGTGAAAACAAAAGACGATGCACTTCCTGTACGTACAGACATGAACATGGAAACATCCATAAAAGTTCCAAACACACCAAAACAGCCTACCTGACAGAGTCTGACAGTAACGGACACAGCAACAAAAGCTCGACGTGATTGGCTGTTACTGGAACTATTAACTGGGGTTTTTTGAGCTGGTGGAAAGTGAAATCCTCCCCACACATTCATCACATCAGCCCACCGATCATCCAGAGCAGAAATATATTTCCCCCGAGCCGCGTTCAGCTGTCAGCCTGCGGCTTATCCGGGTTATCTGGGAACTGACGGGCAGGTCTGCGTGACCTGGAGGAAGCCTCGAGAGCGGCGAGACTTTAAATGAATTTCATCCTGAAACAAACTCACGACAAACTTCCTGCTCACTGCTCTCTCAGACTTTCTCCCTGCATCTTTGCTATCTCCTGGTCACCGAGGTGATGTGATATGACCACAAAAGCGTGATGTAACAGCACTTTGCATAAACAGATGAGCGGAAACAGGTTTCAGCTGTTTCCACTTCATACATCAGACTCTGTAGAAAGTGATCGAGCATCGTTGTGACTCTACTTTCAGGTATTTTCCAGCCTTATTTAATCCACTCAGTTCACACAGCCTCTCCCATAAATGTGTCTGAGCGTAGCTCTCTAAGGTAAACTAGATCAGGGCCTGCAGGTCTCTCCACGCTTTGATCCATCCATCCCAGAAACAGATATACTCATAAATACGAACAAACTCTGACATTATTATCTCTTATTTCACCTTCATGTCCAACACCTGGCAGCTGGAGATGCTGAAGGTTTGACGTGACGTCAGAGGAAGCTCTCCGTCTGTCCTCACACCTTTAATCCTTCCAACCTTCAGCTCAGCCTGTTTCCCAGGAATGTTCACTGGAAGAGCGACTTCTTCTGCAGCATTTTTTATGGCATTATTTGACAATTTCCAGACAGTAATAAAACTTATTTGGGGAACTCATGTCCAAACAAAGACATGCAGAGCTTTAAAGATGACAGAAACACTGCATTTCAACCACAAAATGGAGCAAAGGAATGAATTAAAAGATAAACTCTTGTAGCTCAGTGCCAGAGCGAGTAATTAAAACTGCGCTGTTTAAGGTTGGCCTGACAACACCGTGGAGAGTTTATCCCTCCCATCCAGGGTTAAGGCTCCGAGCTCCGCTTCCCAAGAGAAACACGTTAAAAGCATCAGAGGTTCAGTTTCCCAGAGCTGCTTCATCGTCAGTGAACAACTGAGCGAGGAAGAGTCCCAGAAAGGATTCACATGTGTAAAAAGTCTGGTTATCACTCAGACTTGACGGGGTTCAGGATTATGTTCCATCAAGCAAGTTGTCAACAGGCACCACTGTGTGTTTAACCTGCCAAGATTCAGCTCAGTCCTTCACCAAAAACACACCAACAGCTGTAGATCACTGTTTGTCTCCCTGCACAAACCTTTTTCATGAAAAGACCCACAAACTGAGACTCTGCCAACGCAGGAGAAGCTGGTTGTGACTGTTGGCTGCTGAGATGTTAGATTCAACGACAGGACGTGTCCTGCAGAAAGGTACGAAAAATCACAAGTTCAGAAAAGTTACTGTAATTGAGGCTGACGTCGGTACATTGGCTGTTAGTGCTGAACGTTTGTGGCAAAAAGCATCCAACAACTGGATTCTTGAAACTAACAGGAGATGAAACTTTGCATTTCTTCTGATCAAACCATTACAGGTTAAGGCGCCGACGGAGGCTCTGCTACTGTGGAGGAGCAGAGCAGTGACATCAGCCAGAGCAGATACTGCGTTGTTTGAGTTCTCTTCCCCAGAGTCGGTGTAAACCCAGAGACAGTGGAGTTAAATGTTTCAGTTACAGTCCGTCGTGGCTGTGGAAGCTGTTTCCTTTGATCAAAGCTTGTACTCACTCATTGGGTAGCTTTACAAAGCAGGGCAAGGTAAAGGGAGCAGGGCTGCTTAGCCTGGGAGTCCAAATCTCCACCAAGAGTACGAACATCCCAAAGGTAAAGTTTCATTTCCTGTTTAAGCCAATAAATCAGGACAGCAGCCAAAGCTACAGAGGCTGTGCTTCAGAACTGACAGCTCCTGCAGTATCAGACCGTTTCCCAAACAGAAGCATGAACAATGCAGCAACATGAGCAAGTCACTAATGTTAGGGTTCAATTCCCAGGCTGTAGGACTGTAGGTGGTCGGGGCTGGAGGGTAAAGTCTGTGAGGCTCTGTTTAGTGAAGTGGGGAGTAAAACGTGGTGCTGCCAGAGGTGGGTGGTTTCAGCCTGAGGAGGGGCTCATTTATCTGATCTTACATGTTAGGTATCCACTTCAGAGGCTGTTTAGGTTTCAGCTGGGATAAATCAAGCGCACCTCCAGTAGTCAGGATATTAAAGCCATATTTAGCTGGATGTTTTCTGCAGGACCTGGACGCTGCCCAGACAGCATGACAGATACATGGCCGGAGGGTCTGCAGTCATAAAAACAAGGTCGGTGAGTGTCGGCCTCCGGGGGAGGGGGGGGACGAGGGCGAGCAACAGGAGGGCAGAGACAGAGACCGTGAGGAGGTAAAGATGTCCGTGAGGACTTCAAGACGCCAAAATATGAGTTTATAAGGGAACGAGAGAGAGTTCGTCTTGTAATCGGAAGGTTGCCGGTTCGAGCCCCGGCTCCGACAGTCTCGGTCGTTGTGTCCTTGGGCACGACACTTCACCCGTTGCCTACTGGGGTGGTCAGAGGGGCCGGTGGCGCCAGTGTCCGGCAGTGGCTACGATGTAGCTGCCATCACCAGTGTGTGAATGGGTGGATGACTGAATGTGCAAAGCGTTTTGGGGTCCTTAGGGACCAAGTAAAGCTATACAAACAGAGGCCATTTACATCACAGCCTGGACTCAAACAGAGAAATGATGAAGAGAATAAACTGAAAGGACTGTCAGCTGATGTCACATCATCAGATTTGTTCCACTCAGGTTCATCGATCTCATTTAAGCACTTCTCATAGATCTGCTGATGAATCCCACCTGTTCCTCCATCTGTGTGAGCTTTCAGCACCTTTAAACTATTCAATAAACAAAACTTTTTCCTGTTTGTGGACAAAATTCATTCATAAGATCAAAAGAAAGAAATGAGAGCGTGGAGCTTTGGTTCCTGCAGAGACTCCAGCAGACGGTGCAGCTAAGAAGCCCAAAAAGAAATGCAAAAAGCCCTTTATGATGTCAGAAATCTTTAGTGACATCACTGAGCACACTGGCCTGAACACAAACTCAGCTGTTCCTCATATTCAAGGATTAGGCAGCATTGACCCTTGACCTCCTAAGACCAGATTGATTTTTCCATCAAAGTAAGTGAGAACATGAACCTGCACCGTGATCCAGACAGGCACAGTGAGGAACCATCATCATCATCATCATCATGCGCCTTCAAAGCTCGACGAACAGAGAGGCGGTGAGACAGATGGGCGAGCGAGAGGCCGTCCACCAGCGCCGAGCGTCTTTCCCGATCACTTCCAGGTTTGGGATGATGACCTCTGACCATCCTGATGAGGAGCTGCTGTGTGGACCAAGCAGCAGCTCTACAGTGGACTCATCTTCTTCTTTAATGGGATTATGGGATGGCTGCTGGTTTCCCTCACATACAGCCTTACAGTCAGGTTCATCCAGCTCCTCGCTGGAAGCTGGAGGAGAAGTCAGTTCCAGAACGAAGACATTATCATGCAGAGCGGGTGATAAATCCCGGCACTCTGATTATGATTACAGTCAGATATGGTAAACACACCAACATGGGAGACTAACTGAACTTTAATTGTGTTCAGTCTCCCTGCGCCAGCCCTCAGCAGCCACACAAGCGTCTGCTCTGAGCTCAGTATCCACGCTTTAACCACCCACTTGGTCCAGTCTGATGTCGTGGGATTCACCTGCACCACAAACTGAACTTTGACCCTCACAGCGTCTCTACTTTCTGTTCTTTCAGCTCAGAATCAGTTAACGAGTCGTTAATGTTAACAGACACTCGTGTTTCACACAGCGTGTCCTCGGGTGGGCCACCGTCAGAGCACAGCAGCAACACCTGCGTCAGGATCATCACAAAACGATGAAAACATAAAATGCAGGATGACTCGTGTTTCTGTGACAATCTGAGTCTGTTTCTGCATTTTTTCCTCTATTTTACCAAAACTAGTTATTATTTTTAGATTTATGCATTTAATCTTGTGTTATTGTACATCCATGCAGCATTTCTTCATTTAACTCTTCAAACATGTTCGTTTTTATATTTCTGTTTTAAATAAATGTTCCCGTTTCCTGCAACGGAGCCGAAAGGCTGACGAGACAAACGAAACCAGCCTCACGAAGCAGAAGAACAAAGCAAAGATGAACGAGTATTTAAATAAATAATCAACTAACAATATTAGATAATATTAACAATAATAATCAATAATAAATGAAGTAAGTTAAAATATGTCAGAGCCAAATAAATCTGTTTTATTAGATAAATATAAATAACACATCTCACTGTTATTTTTAATTTAGAGGCTATTTTTTAGAACGGATCTATTTTCTGTGGCGTATTGATCTCCCTGGACACAGACACATTACAGCGGCCTCGTGTCCTGTACGCGTAACGTGTGTGCTGCATGTTGCAAACCACCGAGCGAGCGTTCAGCTTCACAGCGAAGCAGAGCAGCTCACACTGACCAAAGCTCACGAGCACAAAACTCATGCTGAAGAACGTCTAAATCCATAAATCATTCACTCCCAAAGGCTCCACGCGGGATGCATCGAACCTGACAGGCAGGGCGAGCTGGGGGCGGGGCTTAACCGGACTTTTTACCCTTTATTCATACGCCTAAATATTTCATGCATTCACTTTTGTCCCAACGACCTGTCCTGATAAAATCAAATAATCTCATGGACGGACCGGAGGAGCCGCCGACCCTCCCGACCGCTGATGTTCGCGCTCATCAGCGGAGGAACATCCATCACACTC